CTCTCTCTCTCTCACTCTCGGTCTCTCTGTCTCTCTCTCTCTCTATTTTTCTCTCGCCACTCTCCCTGTTTTCTCTCTCCCCCCCCGCTCTCTCTCTCTCTTACCTAAATGATCCACTGCACGAGTCGCACTTCCACGGGCTGTTTGACGCATGATGTTCGTGGTGTCACGTAAGATCCCTTCTCATTCGTGAAAGCTTCCCGGCAGAACGGACAGGCGTAGCAGTAAGTCTAAAATCCACTCCATCTACGTACAACATTTACTATCTACCTCCTCAAAGACGTGCACCGTGTTGTGCCGCTGGAGCGTCTGCTCCGATGGAAAGAGCAATTTGCATTTGCGACAGGAGAAGAGTTTGTGCTGAAACAGGAGGAAATGGGTGGGTACTATCAAGTCTATTTTTCTATACTGTTAAAGCGAGAGGGTTACGAAGGAGGAGTATGGTATCGATAATTTTTCAAGGAATCTCTGCTAGCTTTCCTTTTAGGACCGGGTAAGTTTTTTCAAAGAAGCTTTGCGAGCTTTCCGCGGCCTGAGCCGGGGGGGACCTCCGCGAGTTTCGACCAAATGGTCGCTTTTCGCAAAGAGTTTCTGCTGGTCTGCCTTTAGGATTGCCTGAATCCCAAAGGATCACTGCTCGCTGGCCTGTTTGATATCTTAAGATCTGATTTTCAGCTTTTCAGTAGATTAACAACGAATTCAGCAAGCTAGGGTATACCGGAAAAGCAAAACTTTTAACTAATCACTTGAACTTAATTGGATCCCCATTACCTTATTATTGGCGATGTACTGCTCGATCTCGTCCTGGGGTAGTTGCTGCTCACGGATACAGTCCCGGGGCGGCTCTGGCGGCATCTCGATCTGGATCTGTGGGGCGGTGGGAGGCTGAAAAGATTTTTGGTACACATTTGATTTTTGGTACATTAATACATTGGAGAGTATCTCACATCCAAAAAATCTTCTACCTGCCACATGTCTGCTGCTTCGATTCTGATATTCAGGCCAATCGGGTAGTTCTCGTTTTCCGTGTTGTTCGGCTGCTCGGGTTGCTCGGGGATGGGGGGCAGAGATTCCGGGTTGTCTGAAATTCGGAAAGTCATGGATTTCTTGCTTCCCAGTCGCTTTAAAGGGATCAGAAAATGCCAAATCAACCTCTCACATTGACTAGGCCTCGACAACTAAGTATCGCTTCAAAACACAGCCGGTTTGGTGGTTCTTTTTTTGTACAAAAATGCGTGCATAACCAGAATTCATATATTCGTATCTGTGCGCCTATTGCCATTGCCATTGCCATTGCGTATCCTAATAGACCTCACTGAAGCCAGGGGTCGATCTGACCGCTTTCCCTTTCCCTTTAACATTTCAAAACTCACGGCATTGTTGGCTCATCTCCGGCGATATTGGCCTCTATTCTCGACTTGATCAACTGGTTCGTCTCTTGGCGCTTGGTGTTCGGGGATAGAAGCCCGTTGCCGCGGATCATACGTCGGCTAAAGTAAGCAAATTATTTGTATGGTCAAATAAGCTAATTGAATAACTTCACAACAATACCAGCATTCCCATCTAAATATCATGCATTTTTTGATACTTACCCAGTCTGGCCGCTCTTCTGCCTGTCCGGACACTTGTGCTGGTAGAGATTGGACCGGAACTTGTACGTCTTGAAGCAGAATTTGCATTTGAATGGGCGATCGTTGGAGTGCTTGACGGCGTGCTGCTTGAGGTACCTGGAAGGAGATGGATGCTCGCTGGCACTGCCTCTTTAATTAGCGTCATTTTTAAACGTTCAAAATTCTTAATTTGAATTTCCACAACGTCGGAAATCTCATTGTCAAAATTCATAACGTCGGAATGCTATCATGTCGAAATCTTTGATTTGAAATCGCCGTGGGATTTCAGATGTCAAAATTTGGGGACTTTTTTCGAGAAGTTCATCATCGGAAAAATTCGGCTATGAAATGACGAAATTATAAAATTTCGAATTCTGGATGACATCCTATTTCCGGAATTTCGACCTGATCGATATGTTATTAGATGCATTACGCCATTCGCTTTCGAAAATAGCGTTTAAATTATATAAATTAACGTACCAAACCGAGTTGAACAGCTTCCCGCAGTCCTTACACGCGCACTGCTGGTTCTTCTCGAGCGTGATGTTGATGTGGTCAACTTCAGTGGGGCAAATGACGACTGGTGGAGGTGGCGCAACTTCCAGCTAAAAAAAGTGAGGTAAGGCCAATTTCTAGAGAAATCAAAAACCCGACTCGCCCGCGACGGAGAGCTGAAACTTACCTCATCTACCGGCAGGACAAAACTCACCATTTTCACGGCCTGATTGTTGTTCCCGGACTTGTCATCTGACATCGAGTTGAAGCCAAACTCCGCTGGATAGCCCGGGTAGATGCCGCCCGGAAAATTCATCTGAAAGGGCGAGCATTTTTTACGCAAGACCAGATACCTTATCGATGACACTTATGTCCTTCATTCATTTTATACAAATCTCTGGTTACCAAAATATTAAAAAGGTTTTTTTAGGTTAACCTAGCTTTTTGCGCGTGAATTTATCCAGAAAAAAGATTCTATTACTTTAAAAACAATTGCACAATGAGCGAAATTAGCTAAAATGTAATAAAACAGTTTTCATTACCGGATTCTGGATGTCGCTATTCGGAGGTGGCTGCAGAAAGTCGTCCATGTTCAGGCATGGAGGGGGTGGGGCCGGGGTGAGATCGGCTGGGGGTGAAAGACTGCAAAAAGGTAAATTAAAAAAATGCTTTGCGAGGAAGATGACATTTTTATAGAAAGCATAAAACACTTAAATATAGCCTTCAAAAAATCATAAAAAATTGGGTTAAGGGGAAATTGGGCCGGAGGGGTCTCGTGAAAAACCTGGATTTTGCGCATTTAAGTAAGTACGTAATAAGTAAACATGAGACATTTTCCTAAATTCTGCCCAAAAGCTCGCCACACTTTTTCCAAGCCCAAAAAAAAGACTTGGCCGATGTTGGAATTCTCTTCCTTCCTTTCCCCCAACAAAAAAAAGAGTTTCAGGTCAACCAGATAAGCACACCAAGCTCCCCAGGAGGCGATTTTATTTTTTCGAATGGTCAGCAGCATCCTTTTTTGGACACCTCATTCGCCTGCAGGTCAACACCGATAACAATGCGTTTCAGAGGGTTTTTAGCGTCGAATATTGAGACTCTGCGATGGGTTTTGCAAGATTTGGAAATAGCAGGGGAATGGAAACAACGAATAATCGAATGCGCGAAATGCCGAAAGCGCAGACATACAGAAAAAGTGGCGTTCCAGTGGCGAGAAACAGCAGAAAAAGTCTGGATGATGACGTTCCGAAGCGACAGAAAAAAAATTAAGGATTGCAAAACAAAAAAATGCTGATCTAAGGTACAGAATTTGGTCATCAAGCATTTAAAGGGACAGGGCCCCAAAAATCCATAAAAATAGGGACTGAATAGCAATAGTACCAAGGAAAAATGAGTCAAGCAGGAAAACAAAAAAGAAAGTTACTGTAAATAAATTTGGAAACGAGGAAAAAAGAAATAAGGCGCTTGTAAAAGAGATGAGCTTAGAATTAGAAAATACTCTAAGGTGCAGCAGACTAGAAAACAAATTAAAAGGTCCATTTGGAAGGGATCCGAACACGTTACAGTAATTCAAAAAGGAGCTTTCCGAAAGGATCCAGGGTTTAACGTGTAGCATATAAACTCCTCGATTTCGTAATGTTTTCTGCTGTCACACCCCCTTTAAACCCTTTAGAGACCAGGGCGACCTAAGCTTTCCCAGAACCCAAAGTCCACCCCCTAACCGTTCCCACATCCAACTAATAACCAATCAAACAACTTCACCTTTTCAGGTGTTCCCGATTTTGAGCGTGGATAGGGAGAAGAGGGGGGACGTGTGACAGCTGGTCACTCCTTGAAAGCCGATAAAAATGGGCAGAACCCTGAAGTCATCTTTATCTTTTATTTTCGATGAGCCCTCGGGGCCAAATTTCCCCTCTTCTTTCGCTGTCCTTACGACCTGAATTTCGGGGTTCTGACCAGCGCTTGTTTCTCGGGACTCCCTCCTTTGGGCTTATCTCTAGGCATATGCTTCTCTCTTTCCCTGTCTCTCCCTCGCTCTCTCTCTCTCTCCCTCTCTCTCTCTCTCGCTGGTCAAAGCTGGCAACAAGGCGATAACGCGCCGGTTACGCCAACACCACTTCCCCTCCCGGCCCTATAAGACTGTGCCCCGAGGCAAACCGAGCGGTGAGGCAATATCGGCAAATATTAGGCAGGCAAAGGTGGAGGCCGCTTTTGGGGGAGTTGGAAGGTATGGAAATAGGTTTAAGAAATTTCTATTAGTTTAAGAAATTTCTAGAAGGTCCTTGGCATACACCTGCAGCTCCTAATTACCGTAGCTGAAGGCATGGGCCGATCTGCAGTCGCTGCCATTGCGAGTAGAGCAAAAATTAGGCTGTTTCCGGTATCAAAAGCAGTTTTAGAAGCCATTTCGTGTGCAAAGTTCGATGATCACGAAAATTAGAGCAAGATAAACCTAACATAGACCTGTTAAACAACAATCAAAAATCATGCAGTAAATGCAAGAAAACTCAAATTGAAATATTCAAAACTCTAAAAATATGTAATTTGCTTGCAAGGTGAAATTAGCTGTAATTAGCGACTCGGAAAACGTAAGAAAAATTTGCATAACTGGCCAAATTTGAATTAAGGAACTTTGGAATTAAAATTAGGAAATACGAATAAGCAACGCGTTGGCGCCGTACTAAATTTCTGCGTACCGTACTGTACCTTAAAAGATTGAATAGCAAAAACTAGTCGGAATCCAGATTTGCCATCGCCTCGAGACGCGCTGCCATCCTAGGCGCCTAGCTAGGTAAACGGCCCGGTCCAAACCGGGGGATGGGGTGGGTCCAAATTGGTGGGCGCGGGAAAAACTGGTCACCGTTCCCCCGCCCTACCATAACTTCATAGGCTCCCCCAGGGCATATAATTGCCAAGTATGGCAGTTGAGAAAGAGCTCAAACTCCCCCTCAGTTAGCTATATGAGCCCATGATCAAGAGGGGAAGCTCGGAGGGGGAATAAATTGCCCGTAGCTTCGTGGGTGGCATGCCCAGCAGCCCCGGGCCCCCAACCGGTTGATGCGCCTACGTTTTTTTCGGAGGTAGGGGGCTATCTCTAGGCGCGCCGCGGCCCGGCGATTTTCTTCTTCGCGTCGCATAGCACTGTTACTGTTGGATGGCAGGAGGTAGGCAGGGGGGAGGGGAGGGAAGATGATGCCCCCGGGCATGAAGAGATAATAAAAAAAGACTGGAATTTGCGCATGGATAGACAGGGAGTTGGATCGGGGAAGCTGGAGGCACGGAATAGTAAAGAGGGAGCCGGCTGGAGGGATATGTATTGGTCAGGGGATGGACTTTCCAAGATATAGAATTTTATAACTGCGAAATTAAAGCTGCCGGAAAGGCATCCCTATCAATTTTGCGTAGCGCACCACGCGATCTTGAGAGCTTCAATTCCGAGCCGCTTTGCAAAAAGCTACGCTTACGTAATTCAATGTTGAAACTGTTAATTGGTCACCATAGTTTAATATGGAGCGTAACGCTTCTTAAGTTCTCACTACGATGAGCTTCTTGGCCATGTTTTAAACTTTTGTAAAAGCATGCAAAAGACTACAGGCGTCTGCGTAAGTAGGTTTTTTGTTGGTAATTGAAGCACTCAGGAGATTTTTTATGTAGTCTAGGGCAGGCGTGCGAAGATCATTAAAAAATCGGAGTAATAGAGAGGACAAGTTTTCAGTGATTTTAAGACAACTAGAAATTTCTAGAACTATGAAAATCAAATTTCGCATCGGAATTGACCTTGGTGGGCGCGATGCCGGGTTTCGTTTCACGCTGAATATTCAGACGGCCACGAGGGACAGTTCGTGCCAGGTGGGGCGGGCTCGAGGCGGTCCGGAATAAATTTCAAGCGGAAAGAAAGCCAAGAAATTCAAGCATGAAATCAGGAAGTTTCTCAAAATCAATTTTTGAAAGTCTAAAGACTCGAAAAAATAGTTCAAAACAGTATCACCAAAATAATAGGATTTTAGGCACCGTATGGTATCGAAAAATCAAAAAATCGTGGCAACTAGCCTTCCAGAAAAAGTACGGAGAGCTACTCTTCACAATATCGGCGAGCAAAATCTGGAACATCGAGCGGAGAATTAGGAAGTTAAGGCGAAATTTTTACATGGAGCGTTTAAGGCCCGCCAAAGTCTCGAAAAATTCATAAAAATTCGAAAAAGAAAAGGAAAAGTGCACAACGCTGCTCTTGACAATACCATCACCGCCAACAATGACAGCCTATTCTTGGGATGAAGATGATGGTGGAGTAGAGGTGGTGGCGGTGTTGATGGTATCTGCTAGACCACCCCTCCGCCCCCCGCCTGGGATTATGGCCCTATGGTAGACCGTCTAGAGGAGTGGACGGAAAAGGGGAAGATGGCCTCCCTTAACCGCAACCAATCAACCGACCCTCATCAAAGGGCGCCATCGAACGAGATATGGCCAGCCAACTGGTGATTTGATCAGAAGGGAGGTTGGGTAGAAGGTAGTAGAGAAAAAACTAAGAAAATTATCCTGGTCTACCCAAATAATTGCTGCGCGTTAACCAAGCAAGAAAATTAATAGAAAAAAATAAGTCAGAACGAAATTAATTAAAAATTTGATTTGGTCAATCTAGTTACATTTTTACAGTTGAAAATTTGGAGATATAGATTTCCTCAAGTACCTCTGCTAGCTGGCCATTCCAAGACAAAACAAAAAACTATGGTTAGCTGGCAGCTTCCAGAAGCCTAGAAATGCTTCCGGATTCCAGTAAATTCAGAAGAACCTCTGCTCGTTGTAGCTCCATCTCTCTCTCTCACACTGTCTCTTTCTATCCATATTTCTTTCTCACTCTCTCTCCTTCTCTCGCTCTCTAGCTGTTCCAAAAATTAGAAAAATGGCGAATTCTGCTAAAACCATGACAAAGGTAACAGAGAAGAAGTTAATGAGCTATATCGAGGAGAGATTAAACTTAAAATCGATTCGGCAACCGAAAGACTCTGCGGATACCGTAACCCAACAATCCCGTCCCTGGACAATGAGCAAGCACGGCCGAAAATGGTGTTTCACCCGCCGCGGGGTAGGTGGGGGAAGAACCAATTGGCCTTTTCGACAGTCTCTCTCTCTCTCTCTCTCGCTTTTTCGCTCTCTCCCCTTCAGAAGACACTGTCACCCCGTTGCTCCGAGGTGATGCTATCAGATGACCTTCCGATGACCTCTCAATCGTGGCCACCAATCACAACCGGTTACCTCTAAATTGCACAATTACTCCCGCCAGGCAGTCCTCCCTCCGAATCGGGGTCCGTGCAGAGGAGT